CCCTAATAGCTCTTAAGTGTGCTTCTTATTTTTATCATAAATTTGTTTGGAGGTGCTTAGTTTTCTTTTTGTTGTCGTTGGGTCTATAATTTCATGTGCTCTCATTCCTTCACTTACGAACTGGATCAAATATTGAAACTTATCTTCGTTTTTTAATTTATCCTCACGTCCTTATCTTCTGAAGACATTTCTCCCACAATCAACATTTATTGTTGCTGTAATTGTTTCGTGTTATTTTTATAGCCCTTCAGTAACTTCTCTACGTCTTCAATTTTAGCTTCGCAGTTCATGGATTTGAATAACCTTCCTGTGTGCTCATTTTTACAGGCACAGTAAAAGTAAATTAAGTTTTCATCGATTTTTAGCCTTTGGTCTCGAAAAACGATATTGCGTTATTTCACTTTAACGCGTCGTTTGACTATTCATTCATGTTTGATCCCATTTGGAAAATCGTAAGATATAATACATTCATATTTAATCTGTCTGTTATTAATTAATAAACTAAACTATTTAAAAGCAATAGATGCCATTCTTAATAATTTTTTATACTTCTTAATGGGATTAATTCAAATAAGAATCCATTTAATTCATAATACATCCAAATAAAAATACTCGGTATTTTTATAGAATTTCAACCTCTCCTCCTCTGTCATACATATTTTTTCACTATTTAAATATACAGAAGATATATCACGTTTCTACGATTGTCTAAATGCATATTCATCTAATGTCCTGGTAAAATGTTTCGTTGTTCTAGTAGTAGACATTATCTTTCGACAATCTCTACTTGTGAACTAATATATTCTACTTTGAAAGAGGCCTTTTTGGTAATCATTAAAATCTGAGTCCTTTTCAGATACTTTTTTTTTTCGTTTTTATTTGTTTCATATTCTGTTTACTCTCCCCGCAATGTTTAACGATTTTTATCTATTTGGGATTATGAACTTGTGCACAAAGTACTGTTGGAAAGTTTGAATAAGCAATCATCTGTGTTGCAGAAAGGAAGTAAGCCATTTGTAGTGATTATGTGGTGGTATGCTCGCTTAGTGCTGCTCGATATGTAGTTGCTTGCTTGTGTCGCAATCTATTAGTACTGAGTGCGGTAGTGCACGAGTTTCGTGTACCTTTGAGAAGTAAGATTCGCCGAATCTCGGTCTTGAATCCCCTTCATATGAATTACACTGTACCGGTGGTTGACGAGCGGCTGTCAGGAAAGAACTGAATTCGTGAAGCGAAACTTTAGTATACAGTCAAAAGTCGTTAATCCGGACTCGTCGGGACTTCGGCGATTCCGGATTATCGATTTTTCCGGATTATAGATCATCAGTTTAAATCTGGTAAGATGGCATGCAGAAATTATAAAATTAAAAATATGAAACCGTAATTTATGAAATAAAGAACAATTATGATCTAAAGGGTATCAAAATTCACAAAAAAAGAGCTTAATATTTATTTGTTTACTTTATTAAACATTTCTTTCAATGTAAGTTGTTTAAGTTGCCTCGTTTGTTATGTGATAATACATTCTCTTTAATTCTATAAACAGACATAATTTCTTGTTCAGTTACAAAGTTCCGCTGTTCAAGTCCTATAATTGCTGTGTCTACCGACTAATTTGTCAATCGAAATTTTTTTGTTTTCAATAACCTCTGTCACTTTCTTCGCTATCGGAAGCGAATTATAATGACGAGGAATTTGATTTAAATCATATCAGAGACGGAGTACATCGAGATGAAATACTACATTTAGTAAGGAATTATAAGCCAAATAAAATAAAACATCTGCCCTGAAGATAAGGATAGTGCTGACAGATCAACTTCCAATTCATCGCGCGCCGCGGCGTTAAAGATAAACAAAGGATATGCCTTTATCCATTTTTTGCAGCAATTCCACTTTTTGTTTAATGAACTTTGAAACATACTTTCGCTTTGTAGATCCTTTACATATTAATAAATATATATCAGAAATTCTATTTGACATAATCGAAAGTTCAAGCTTACTTTTATAAAATTGCTCTAACAGTCTGCAACAAATAATAAGCCGGATCCAATTCGAAGATTAAGGAACAACGCAATCTGCAACATTAACTGAAATAGATAATTTTAGCTTAGCTTATGCTGTCCGTTATACATTAAACGCGCACTCGTAAACGTATTTTGCGCACGTGCACAAGCATATTCGCAGCCGTAAAGGTCTTACACGCATGCGTCAGAGCGACGCATAGAAAACTCGAGTTAATTTTCGTCATACAATGCTCTTTTATTAAAAAAAAAAAAAAAAAAAAAAAATTGGGCAGGAGAAATGCTAATCAGATTGGTTGTAAAATTTGTGGTTTACGTGGAAGATGTACTGTTTCTGATCATACAATTTGAAGGTGGTTTCAAATGTTTAGCACGGAAATTTTATTCTCGAAGATGATGCCCGCTATAAACAAATATCCTCTGAAAACAAGGAACTCTCAAAAGAAGCTTTCGCTCAAAATCCAAGTGACATAGTTGAGAACTATCAGTCAGAGTAAATATTCCAAAAAGTACGATGCATAATTATTTGAAGAAGCCAGCATATGTAAGCATACTTTAAATATGAGTTACTCATACATAGTTTTAGTACTCTATTAAAACGGAGCAGAATATACTTTCTCAAGTTTTGAGAAGTGATTTTTAGGTGGAAAAAAAAATAAAGCTCTTTTTTTTTTTTTTAAATGGCTCATTATTGGAGATGAGATGTGGATACTGTAAAATAATTTTACAAGAAAACGATCATGGAGGTAAGCCAAAAGAACCACTTTTAGTAACATCGAGAGGTGGGCGAAAAACGTAATTCCTGTGTTAGATGGGACTATAAAGGAATCGTATACTATAAATTGTTACCTCCAAATCAGGCAATAAATTCAGAAAAATAGTGTTCGTAAGTGACAGTTTTAAAAGCAGAAATTAAAGCAAAGCGCCCAAAACTTGAGGTGTGGCCTTCCATCATTACAATGCTCAGCAGTGACAGTTCCATATTTCGATTTTGAATGTGAGACTAAAATTTATTTACTATGGCTGAGATCATTTGTGTCACTCCCAATATTCCCTTCTCGGATTTGAATTTCTTCATATCCCTTCAAAGTTCTCTGAATGGCGTGGAGACTTCAAGCAGCACCTCGATAACTGGTTTAAGAATAAACCTGATGACTTTTTTAACCAAGAAACTCCCCAGCTTCTGAGAGATGGCGAAAAGGTCATAGAATAAAATGGTGCCTATGTATTTCAATGGAAGTTTCTTAACCTTTTGATGGTTATCAACAAGACGCATCGCAGTGGGTGCAAATGAATACAGCTGGCATTACAAATTTACGAATGACAGATACCGCGCGTGTTTTAGAAGAAAGAATTGCTTAATCTCAGAACAGCCAAAAGGTTGTGCTCCTTCTTTTATATTAATATCTACTATGAAATAATGAAAAATCTGTACGTATGTATACTGTGTCGAAGTCCTCATGGTTTCAAGGATTCTGAGCAAGCGACCAAGGTAGTATTGTGCATGTACTTCGTATTGCGGTGGCACCTAGAGTCACCAGATTTTGAACACATGTAGTTCTCTGCCTGAACACGTGCACCTCGAAACTGGAGTTTGGAAATTTAAATTTTTTTAAAAATTTATTCACATTTTGGGCGAATTTAAGAACATTTCATGAAAAATTCAACGGAAAAAGGAAAAAGCTTTTTGTCGCCCCTCAGCAAAATTTAAAATGTTTATGTTTGAAATTTAATTAGAAAACTCAGCGATTATTCCTCCAGATTAAAAATCTTTTACTTCCTTGCTACTCGAAGTAAAAAGCAAGTATTGTATTTGTCGCGAAAAGTTTCAGGCAGCATATTTCAATCGAACAAATATCCATTTTGACCGCTGTTTCGAATGCAATTTAGCGATGCATTTTGTGTGCCTCTACGTAAGGAAAGAGATAAAAAAACTTTTACTTCCTAAAAAAAAAAAAAAAAAAAAAAAAAAAAAAAACGAAAAAAAAAAAAAAAAAATAAAAAAATTAAAATGAAAATGAATTCTGAAGAGAATTTTCGTGGCATCTGTACGAACGTATGTACGTATCTCGCATAACTCAAAAAACGAGTAGCCTTAGAACGCTGAAATTTGTATAGAGGACTGCTATAACATGTAGATGTGCACCTCGTATTTTGGTTGCAATCGGCCGCACGAAACGTATAAAAATATATTTATATATATATATCCACTCTGTTACCCGGCTCATTGATCTCAGTTTCTTTACTCTTATATGTTTGTAAATTGTACATTTTTTGCTTTAAAAATAATTGAATTATGTTGTTCTTATCTTCCGGTTGAGGTTTTTATGCCTTTAGTAAATCTGTACGCAATATTTTTAGAATTATCAACAATTTTAAAGTTGGTTACTAAGCCTAATAATTTTTTTTTTGATGGAGACTATTGCTTGTTTATATTTGAAACAGCAGAGTAGTGGATTTGTTGGCAATCTAGAGAAACGTAGCTTCGCAACAACAAAGATAACGCCTTCATTTATTATTGCGAATTAAATCATGCTTAATCCTTTCTGGAATTTTTTCGAAGAATAAGTGTTTAAGATTTACTTCGTAATTTTTAATACAGATATTTTGAGTTTTGATGTATTTTTGCCTTGTCGCGAAATGAGAACTGAATTAATTGAATGAGAAATACTCAATCGTCTTTGAAAAAACTGTTTCTTTTTTGTTTTGTTTGCTTAATTTCTTTTATACATCGTTCTAGCTTTATTATAGTATTCTAATAGAGCATGTGGCAACGATTAGATAAGTTTTTAAATGATATAAATTTTGCGCATTCTGAGTTGTAATATGAACAAAATATAATACTGTTAAGTGAACCTAGCGCCAGAGTGTTTCTATGGTAAACAAATAGAGTGAATTTTAAGGAGTGCATTTATTCTATTGTGGTTTACGCGCTGTCGGCGAAGTAGGTTTAATTCAATCCAATAAGTTTAAACGAAATGCAAGAAAAAATGCGTATAATTTAATATTCCGTACAAGGATGTCATGTGGTGTACACATCGGATTTTTTATCTTCCACGCTGCAGTATATGTTGTCGTTCCGTAAAGCATAAGGTATTTAATCTTTCAAATTTTTCCTGTTCTTAATTAACCCAGTAAATGATATGAAAGTAATAAATACAGACTAATTTCAGTTATTATTAATTACTAGCTGGACCAGTAAAATTACTTTAACAGGATTCATGAAAATCAGTATGTATTTTTTTCATGCTTTCAATAACTCTTTGAGGCAGCTAGTCATTAAAAATAAAACGCAGAACGTTTTGGGTGACTAGCAGATACTTCTGATGATATCAAGTTTTCTGGTCAGTATTTTTATGCTTCCATAAATGAAAATTTGTGCCCCATATAATTAGGAATTGTACAAAAGCTCTTCTCCTTCAACTTCCGTGGAATAGTTTCCATTGTTAGCTGGACGCACGTCACTAATGTCTGCTGAAGATCTTAGAGAATATTTCTGCCAAGGGCTGTCGTCAATTGTTGCCAATCTTAATTTGCTGGAAAATTCATCGTCTTCCAAAACTCTTATCAAACGATGAGGATGATTTGTTATGATGCCATCAACTCCCATTCTGTAAGATAAAATGCATGAAAAAAGAATATCAATACAGAAATTTTTATTTGTTATGTTTTATGAATAATATGAGGTTTTTGAACTACAGTGCAAAATTGAAAAGTTCTAAAAATTCTAACTATGAAAACATTGTAAATTTGCTGTATAGTTTTTAACTTTATGCTTTCAGAAGCATTCTTAATTAACAGAAATACGAGTATTTAAATTTATATTGTTATGCATTATGAGGATTATCTTAGTTGTCCAAGTTCAAATAAAGCTTAAGTACTTAACATGTGCATGGCTTGTGCTTTTAGCATTATCTCCGCTGCTTGAGAGATTTTTAACTACGTAAAGCATAAATTAAAATTGAAAATAATTTAACGCCAGCCTATCATGCGTTGACTCAAATTATTTTCATTGCGCGAGCAAATTTGGCTAGCTAACGCCTTTTTTAAAGTAATTCTCAAACCTAGGCTATTAAATGTTGCAACTGTCAGCGTCGCTTCCAAAGCCCTCTAACTTTCAAAAACTACTTTGCACCCTGAAAGAGCTAACGAAAGTAAATGTGATAGTGCAGATAAGACAAGTAATTATATATATAATATATATATATATATATATAATTAAGTCAATTCCTACTTAGGTCAACAAAGAAAAATTTTATTTTAGTTACTTTTTATTAACATTATTAACATTTTTTCGTTTTTAATTTATGAAGCTGATGGTGGTCTATAATTTCTCATTCTATCCATCTCTTGTAATGCTTCATTATCGCAAAGAACCATTCCAGTGAGTTTCGAGCAGTGCTGTTTTTTAATTAATATTCCATCTAATGATTTCACACGACTCAGGGCGACATATACTTGACCTGCTGCGAAGAGTTTTCGTTGTAAGCTTTTCTTAGTGCTTATGTTTTTCTTTCTCTAATCGTCACTTGCGTTGTGTTGTAGCTTCTTTTCGCATTCTCTTTTTGTGAAGCAAGGGACATTTTAAAGGGTTATATTTTAAACATATATTATTATCACGTTAACATAGAAATATGGGGAGAATTTTCGCTACATAATGGGACATTACATCCGCTTCATCCAACTCTATAAAATTACAATTCCTTAATTCCATACATGTACTACTATTTGTAAATTGTTGTAAAATTAATTTTTACAGCACGTGAGAATTCTTAATAAACGGTCATTATTTGTAAGTCTTATAATATACGTAATAATTTAATAAAAACAGCTTATCTTTTTTTTTTTTTTTTTTTTTTCTCTTTGAGAATATACAGACTCCCCGTGCACCACATATGTACAACACGGGGCTTACAGAAGTAAGTTAACAAGAATATTAAAGGTTACATGTATAAATAAGCATTAAAAATTACATGCATAAATAAAGCGAACAAAAGCAGAGAACAGCAGTCTGGACTTCACGAAAACAGATAAGTTCACTGGCCAAGTCACTCCGAAATTTTCAAATCGTTCTGTAAGCATAATCTAGGGCCATCAAATGTAGGGCACGAGAAAATCAAATGTTCCACATCCTGAGGAACTCTTTTTTGAACATTCAGATAAATGTTTGATCTTAGATTAAAACGAAACAGATAACTTGCAATTTACCGTGACCAGACCAGATAAAAAAAAACTGAGACACTTTAAAATTTAACGAGAGGAAAAAAAGACTCGGAATTCAGTCTATGGTAATAGAGAAGGAAGGAACTTTTTGGTGACTTCAGCATTACAAGATGAAATGTATTCCTCATTCCACATAGCTAAAAGCTTTTTATAATGAAAGGACTTCCAATAACTCTTTGGAATGCTAATGGAATGCTAATGTTGATATCAATGGGTAAATTTAAGGCATCGTTAGCTAAGAAATCAGCTCTTTCATTTCCGTAGAAACCATGATGAGCACGCACATAAGCAAAGCAGATATCAATACCTCTAATTCTAAGTGAACTAACAGTTACTAGGGTTTCGATAGTTCCGATAAACAGGAATCAATAAGTAGGAATTTTAATATGTGAAATGGCTTAAATATGAAAAAAAAATGGCTTTAATCAGGGGCGTAGCTAGAGGGGGGCAAGGGGGGTGCGCAGAATCCAAGGGGCGCCAAACTGATGTTACGACATTTTAGAATTAAATGTTTTCCATCCTTGGCAAGCAGAAGGGGGCGCGAAATCCTCAGTTGCCCCTGGGCGCTGAAAACCCTAGCTACGACTCTGGCTTTAAATATGTGAAAAAACTGTATTAACATCAAGTGTCACCCTTCCTCACGGACTGGAGGAAACGGCGTTCGCCAAAGTCCTCATCTCCTTTCTTCTTGCTTAAAAGCAAGATTGCTACAGATTGCTACAGATCAAGTGTCATCCGCTACAAGTTTAAAAAAATGTATTTGAACTTGAGTGGATGAATAAAAAGTTATTTTATTAACGATTGAAAATTTGAACAAGATATAGGGAGAGTGTGAGCTAATGGTAGGAATTTAAATAATAAGGTAAGTCTTACAGCATAACGATTAAGTTTGTTGTCGAGCATTTTAAATGGAAATGTACTCAGATTCAGTTGCATAAAAGCAATTCTGCTAACGACATCTATTACGAAAAGATAGAATCATATTTATAAACTTAATATTTTACGTTTACCATACTGTGGCTGCTACTTTCTGCTGTAAGTTGTTATAGGTTGCGGGTAATTGCGAAATTCACTTGTTGGTTCGATCACATGTTTGATCATTCGTTTGTCGTCTGTAGCTTTCCTTGGCAGTACCATTTCCTGGTACAGGTTCGTAATGGATTGAATAGCTTGATAAAATTTACTTTCCCAAAAGAATAAGGACTTTACAATTCCAAAACACTTTACAAAAGTACTTGCACAGCTCTTCTCAGTATGACAAAGTACAATCAGTAGTTACCAACCACTTCAAACTACTGAGAACATTAAACACAACGCAATGCAACTGGTGCTTCGTGCAAGCTTGTACGAAGATCTCTCAATACTTCCAAACAGCGCCGGCGCAAGGTTATCCGGCGCCCGCCTGCAAAATAGAAGTCCTCGTCCCCGACTTTTTTTAAAATTTCTATATAGGAGAAGAATGTTTTGAAGAAAGCATTTGTTGAAATTTTTTTAACAATTTAACGAGAATAATTTATTTTTCTGAATATCATATTTACAAACTTTTCTATAATTTCTTTTGCATCTTATCTCTTAACAGATTTCATTTTCAATGGCAATCAAGCTAAATTTATGAGTCTTTCTTGCGATATATTTCACCATAAATATGTCTTGATCAATTTTAATTTGGAGAATGATCTTTTGCTACTAGGAACACTACAGGAAATGCTAAGTAAATATTCTCAGTATGATCTTCAAGTTCGGGAAGGAAGCATAATTCTTTGACACAATTAAGTTCAGAATATCGAATGTGTCATTCATACTGGTTGTAAAAATATTTTTCAAAGCTACTATTTCGTCATAAAGGTCTGTGTTAATATCTTTATTGTCACCACACTGGAACAAGTTTTCTAATTTACTGCATTTTATTTTCAAATTTGCATTATCAATTTCTGATAAATTACCCAGGAAACTAAAATTATCTCAGTGATTTTTTCATTGCATACAGTGGCGTAGCTAGGGTGGGGCATGAGGGGACATCTATCCCTGGGCGCAGCATGCAGACGGCGCCAAATTGATGATACGAATTTTTTTAATGAAAAATTTTCCATTCTTGGCACACAGAAAGGGGCGCAAATTCATCAGTTTTCCCGGGCGCTGGAATCCTAGCTACGCCACTGATTGCATAAAACCTTTCATTTAATGATGCCCAAGCAATATCCAAAATTCTAAAAAAGACATTATCCCTAAAGTTCTCTTCTATGGAGATTAAGGGTCTTCATCAGAATGTTCGTAATCAAAGTGACATTTATTTTTCTTTCGTAGGACTTCTTTAACAGTTTTAAACTATTGCTCGCCATCCGCTTTTTCACTAAGTTCTTTGGCTTTCTCGAGAATACTTTTGTAATTCTATATTCTTCAATGAATGCTTTTATCTTACTTGCTGTCTTTAAGGCTAGTGTAACATTCAACCCCTTTGCTTGCAATTGTTTGCTGCCAGGATTAATTCTGTTACGCAAATCGTGGCAAAGTATCAAGGAACAATCCTTGATTTTGGCACACAGACTTTGTGCTGCATGTTGCACTTCTTTTGAAAACCATTCACCTTCGGATATTTCAAAATGAGCGTCATAGATTTCTCCTAGTTGATATCTTAAAGATAGAATGACTTCAATTTTGCTTTCCCATCGAGTGTTTGATAGGGGCTTTAATGTTAAACAGAAAATGTTTTTTTAAAAGAACTGCCCATTGCCAGAAGAAAAAATAAATTGCATAATTCTTAAATTGTCGAAAAAAAAAAAAAAACTTGTAAGGATTGTGTTAACTTTATTAACAGTTAAATTTTCAGTTAAAGTTCGTTTCCTATCGATTCTTAACTTCAACTTACTACTTCCGGCCAGAACGTAGTTTTAGAATCACGTCTGAATACATAATGAGGAAGAGCGGTATTTAACCGCGAAGTTAAGACCTAAGGCCTTAGAGAGAGATACCAGGCATTCTGGCTGCACGCGTCCGTCTTTTTAAGCTACTCTCTCGTAAGCTATTATCACGCTCGGCCGTACTTTAGGCCCTTGATAGCTTCGCAGTCTATTAACGTTAAGGGGCCAACTCTGTTAGAATCTTGATAGCTTCGGCTATATCTCTTTAGTTAAGATTAGTTTAGTTTAATTCTTAGTTTCTTAAGTTCAAGCCCAAGTGTCGGCTTCACTGTACGCTCCCAAGACGGAGTTTTGTTAAACTTTAGTTAGAATAATAAAGGGTTAGTTTACCCTTCTATCTTGTTGTTTCTTGTCACACGAACTCAAGCGATTATTCGCTTATCAGTTTTTAATATTCTTCACTTCCAACTGTAACTTAGAATTACAAAGTGAGGAACTCTACAAACTAACTGTATCTGCAACCTTTGCTG